AAAGTAGCTTTACGACGAAAGACATACCTGGTACCCAACGTAAACAAGTCACGCCAGTTTTATCAATAAATCGTTCTTCGTTATACAGGCGACTAGCCTGGTATTCCTTATGAAATGGATCAATCAACTGAATTTGCCCAGCAGAAAATCCAATGATCAGGCTAAATAAAGCAGACTAAACACAAAAAACAAATTTTGCATAGGTAACTGAAACCGCACCTGCAGCTTGTACTTGTTGCAGTTTCCTGATTGAAATGGTGGCATGTTGGATAAGTGCCCTTGTAAACACGTTTGTCAATTGGCTTGCTTAAATCTGCTGCCGTATGGATACCTCTGAAATAAAAATAGAAAGTATCTGACATAACAATTTTAGTGAAACATTTTACTTGTACAAATAGACATATAATTCTCTGCCCACGTTAAAGCAGATACGATCTGCAGTAGCCAATTCCTCACGGTAATTTTCATCAGCGTCCAAGAAATCTTGCTCCTTAACGGAAGATTGAAAATGCAATACATAGGGAATGACCATGCAACAAATACCTCTGCCCTAGAAGAGGGAGTTTTGTTGCCAGAATTCAGTGAAAGAAAGGAAACCCTTACAGGTGCACCAGCAACATTTGCAGCACCTGGTTGCATCTAAATAGATTGTTGATGAATGTTAAAATTATAATAGAAGATTATAAAAATCTAAGATGACGTGCAAGTAACCTGATTCATCGGAACCCTGTTGGGGCGGGAATATTCCGCCATGGTCATCAACTTGTACGTTCCTTCTCTCGTCGTGAAGTGTGTTTTAAGTTCCTCTTTCGGTTGATTCAAAGCGTGATTGAGTAGAGCACCTACAGTAACGGCGGTAAAAAATTATACAATGAAAAATTTGAAAGTAACTGAATATGAAATGGTTCACTTGAAAGTTGTAGACAGACACGAGCAACCCACACACCTACACTAGAGCCTTATGTGAGAGCTCGCAATGAAGTTAAAGCAAAAATTTTCTCACTAATGTAGTAAAAAACTGGACGCGGTACCTGCTTTTGTTTAGATCGTGCTTACCCATTACTTACTGTGATTAGAGCATTGCAAAGTCTTTACATTTAAAAAAATTATACAGTTCATATGAGCCGTGGAAGATTTAATAAAGACTTATACCCTTAATGAAGAGTAGATGACTAGACAGACTAAGCGCTAGTTTATCATTACTCCTTCGATTTATTTGGTAGCAGAAAGGTTTTTATTTGATTTATGATGCTTACTGGTTCTCACCTTTGCATATTCTTACCATATGCAGCTACTTCAAAAGCCCTTTTCCTCTGGATCCTTTATGCCTCCAAAACTAAATTTATCGTTTCTCAAAATTTGTTTGCTCAACTCCTCAGAAAAGAAGTTGTCAAGTAGACCAAGTAAAAAACGACGTATGCTAGAATGTGCACACAAGGCCCAGAAATTAGTGAACGCACTGGAGATAAATGTTCTGTTTGAGGATGCTATTTTCAGCAGTGCAAAAGCTTCGGTGCCAAGTTCATTATTGGCTCGCAAGACACTCAACACATCAGCCAGCCATTTAGAAAAATAAAGGTAATTCCAGTCTTTTTTCTCTGCTTCAGGTAATATCATCTTTTATCACCATTCTTCAATCGTATATAGTTCTAACTTTCAATAACGAAGGTCTACCAATTAGATGATCTGCTTCCTTGAAAGTAGTTTAGCGATTTCTGTGTAATGGTAACGACGAATTTTTTGGAAACTGAGAACAGATGCTATATACAACAATGTACTTATAGATTATTGTTCTCCTCTAATAAAACAGCTTTTAAGTAAATTTTCTAGATTCAAACTAAACTATAAGATCCGATACCGTGAGATTTCTGCAGAAGCCACGGGTTTTCATACCGGCTGTAGAGCTAAACTTTAGGCTCTTAAAATACTATTATAAAGAAAGATGAATATCATTTATTGATGGAGATAAGTTAAGGCTTGTGCTCAAAGATAAATCAAATGTCCAGAAAAGAAAATGGAAAAGTTATTAACGATCAAACATAGATATATGTAT